TGTCATTTATAGCATGTATGATTCATATACTCATCTTTTTTAAAAAAGAACTTTTTCTTGTCTTAGCAAATGAAAAATTTGTAGTTTTTTTCCTATATTCATTTCCCAAATTTTGGATTGCCGTAATTCTACTTTCTGTTCTCTGTTTAAAAACGGATGTTTACTCTTGCCTCTTTTCAGGTAGAGTGCTAATGTAGCTTTTTAAGATAACAAAGAGAAGTTTTCTAATTTCCTTTTTGTGTCACCCAGTATTGAAAGTTTGTTCTTTTTATTATACTTTATTTTTGTGTCCTGGTCATGTTCATTTCATATTTTAAAGGTTTTCAGTATCCCTCATCCACCTGAGACTTGTGACAGAAATCTTAAAAGGAATAATTATTCTACTCACATGCTCATGTGATCTGTGATAGCCAATTTAAATTTTGAAATTTAAAAAATTCTTCATTGACTGTGATGAATTAATACTGCAGTTCATCAAAAATGTGTTAATATACTTTTTCCTGCTATGATTACAGTGACTAGATGGAAAACCCCAAAAGAGAGATTGTGTTTACTTGTTTAGAGAGTTTTTCTGATGTGACCATATCGAGGTTATTCTTTGGAACTTTGAAGTGCCATTTTCTGATGCTCTGGTGTCTTGGCAGAAGGTCAGTTACTGAATAATTACAATAGCAATTTGTGTGACTGTTAAATGTGTTTAATTATCTGTTTCTCTGCACAGGAAACAGGCAAAAATTAAATTATGTATTGGGTTGGCCAAAAAGTTCCTTCTGTTCTTAAGTGAGGTTTAAGGACACATTTTTCATTTTCACCAAGAACTTTATTGAACAATGTAGTCACCATTTTGTTCCACTACCTTCTACCATTTTTCACACAACTTCATAATTCTGTCTTCTCAAAACTTTTTATCTTTTTGAGCAAAGAACTTTTCTATGTGTCTTTACAGTCGTAACAGGGAATTGAAATTTTTTCCATTAGAATTTTGTACAAACTGAAATAAATGGAAGTCGAAGGTGCAGTGTGTGATGAATATGGCGAATAAATCAGAACTTCCCAAGCAAGCTGTATAAGTTTTTGCCTGGTCATCAAAGAAACATGTGGTCTTGCATTATCCTGATGGAAGATTATGCATTTTGTGTTGACTAATTCCAGACACTTTTCATCAAGTGCTGCTTTTATGGTCTAATTGGGAGTAGTACTTGTTGGAATTAACTGTTTGGTTTTCCAGAAGGAGCTTATAATAGAGAACTCCCTTCCAATCCCACCATAGACACAGCATCACCTTCTTTGGATGAAGACTGGCCTTTGGTGTGGTTGATGGTGGTTCATTTCATTTGCCCCATCATCTTTTTCATTCCACATGATTGTACAGTATCCACTTCTCATCAGCTGTCACAATTTGTTTTAAAAATGGAACTTTTTCATTTTGTTTAAATAGAAAATCACATGTGGAAATACAGTCTGAAGGGTTTTTTTCACTTATGTGGAACCCAAACATCAAAGTGATTAACATAACCAAGCTGGTACAAATGATTTTCAGCACTTAGTTTGGATATTTTGAGTATGTCAGGTATCTCCCTTGTAATAATAACGTTGGTTGTTCTCAATGCTTTGATTTGATTGCCATCAACTTTAGGTGGTCTGCCCAACGTTGGATATTATCCAGCAAGAAATCTGTAGCATAAAACTTCATAAACCACTCTTGACACATTTGATCAGTCATAGCACCTTCTCTGTACACTGTAGAAATCTTTTATTGCATTCCAGTTACATTTTTACCTTTCTTAAAATGATGAAGAATCATATGCTGAAAATATTGCTTGCCTTCTTCCATCTTCAGTATTAAAATAGCTACACAAAAATTCACCAATTTTGGTAAGTTTTTTTTTTTTTTAATGCATGGTGATATGACAGCTATCACAATGCAGTCTAAAAAATTTGTTTCGATTGAAGTTAAGGACAACTAAGCGCTACTTGAGCCATCTTACAGAAAAAAACATTGGCTATTGACCAACCCAATACATGAAATGCTATCAGGAAAAAAATCCTGTTAGAATGAAAGACCCACACAGTTGTTGTTGTTTAGTTGCTAAGTTGCGCCCAACTATTTTGCAGCCCCATGGACTGTAGTCTGCCAGGCTCTTCTCTCTATGGGATTTTCCAGGCAAGAATACTGTAGTGGGTTGCCATTTCCTCCTTCAGGGGATCTTCCTAGCCCAGGGATCAAACCTTTGTCTCCTAGTTGGCAGGCGGGTTCTTTACCACTGAGCCACCAGGGAAGCCTACCCATGTAGTGTGTGTGTGTGAGTCACCCAGTCGTGTCTGACACTGTGATCCCATGGACTGTAGCTTGTCAGGCTCCTCTGTCCGTGGTCTCCAGGCAAGAATACTGGAGTGGGTTGCTATTCCCTTCCCTAGGGAGTCTTCTCAACCAGGGATTGAACCCAGGTCTCCCGCATTGCAGGCAGATTCTTTACCATCTGAGCCTCCAGGGAAACCCATACAGTAGCAGACCATTGTTAAAATTAAAAGGAAACATAACATTTGGCTAAAGCATGTTGTTAAGCTAAAAACTATTCATCTCGTTTTTGTTGTGGTTCAGTCACTGTGTCTGACTCTTTGTGACCCCCATGAACTTCAGCATCCCAGGCTTCTCTATCCTTCACTATCTCCCGATTTGCTCAAATCATGTCCATTGAGTCATTGATGCTATCCAGCCATCTCATCCTCTGTTGCCACCTTCTCTTGCCCTCAGTCTTTCCCAGCATCAGAGTTTTTTTTCCTAATGAGTTGGCTCTTCACATCAGGTGGCCAAAATATTGGAGCTTCAACAACAGAGCTTCCAATGAATATTCAGGGTTGATTTTCTCAAGAGTCTTTCCCAGCATTTAGTTCAAAAGCATCAGTTCTTCTGTGCTCAGTCTTCTTTATGGTCCAACTCTTAACATCCATACATGACTACTGGGAAACCTGTAGCTTTGACTATACAGACCTTTGTCAGCAAAGTGACATCTCTGCTTTTTAACATGTTGTCTAGATTTGGCATAACTTTTCTTCCAAGGAGCAAGCGTCTGTGAATTTCATGGTTGCAGTCACCATCCACACTGCTTTTGGAGCCCATGAAAATGAAGTCTGTCACTGCTTCCATTTTTCCTTTTCTATTTGCCATGAAGTTATGGGGCTGGATGCCATGATCGTTTTTTTGAATGTTGAATTTTAAACCAGCCTTTTCACTCTCATAAAAAGACTCTTTAGTTCCTCCTCACTTTTCTGCCATTAGAGTGGTATCCTGTGCAATGCGGGAGATGTGGGTTCGATCCCTGAGTTGGGAAGATCCTCTGGAGGAGAGCATGGCAACCCGCTCCACTATTCTTGTCCAGAAAATCCCATTGACAGAGGAGCCTAGTGGGCTACAGTCCATGGGGTCGTAAAGACTGAGACAGGATAGAAGCACCTGAGCACTCCGGCTTCTCTCACTTACTAAGCTCGTTAACAATGAAAGTTTGTTTTGATTTGTTCATCTTTTCTTCTGACCTTGATCTGGAACTTGCAAATAATCTTTAGAGTGTTTCCCTGTGTAACTGCACGTTGTTTAAGTTTTCCCTGCCCTTTTGGTGGTATGTTTCCTTTGGAAGTCAAAGTAATAGCCATTTTCTCCAAAACTAGTGTAAAAAAGAATAATAATCTCAGAAAAGAATAATTTAGCATCAAGATTTATTTAGTGGGTATGACACATGAACAGTTGCCATTTGAATTTGAATTTTTGTTAGTTTCACTTAGAATTTATCTTTCCTGCTGTGTGGTCTGAAGCTATGAAGACTTAATCTGTAAGTTCTGTGGGCTCTCCTCCTCTTTGCATTAATTAGATCTAACCTGCTTTGAAACTTTTTATTAAAAAGGAGTCTGTAAACCTAGATGGGGTGTATAGTGTGGATCGTAGCAATTTCCTGCCCTTCTCAATGCTGTGAGCAGCAGAGCAGCCTCAGATCTGTCTCTCAAGAGTGTATTAGACTTGGTTCTTGAATCTGCAGAAAGCCGTGTGTGAAGAACACTGACGATAGATTGTCTGGACTGAAAAAGCTTGTTAATTCTCACATTAGTGGATGTTTAATGTAAGAGGGAATCATGATTGCAGTTTCATATTACTTCATGAAAAAATTATTTGCTGTTTGCTCACTGTTTACGTTGATCTGGTAGTTGGTTGTATTTGAAATACATTTATATATTGTTAGCTATGATTTTGGATTGAGTCTAGCCTTTATATTGTTTTACCACTATTTTTTGAAGAGGCAAAGAGGCATTCTATTTAAAACAAATTTTTTTTCAACTTTAGCTTTATTTTGTTGTTTTGAATTTTATTATTATACATATCTGTAATTCTTATTTTGAAAATGTAGTACTGCATTTTCTGCATGTTTTGTGATCATTGGAAAACTAATGGGGAAGTTATAAAGCAATGAGAGAAGGTGCTTAAAAGAATAATCTTCTGTTGTTTTTCTTTTGAGAAAAATACTGCCACTTTTCTAAGGACCCCAAGGATGAGGGTTTTACATCTTTTATAAATTCTACTCTTAGAGGAGAAGGGAAGTAGTCATTACTGCATGTCTTCCTTTTTATTTTAATAGCCAACATTGTGAACCTGTCATATGTCAGACATTGTGCTAGGCATTTATGTTATTTTATGTAATTCTTCTACCAATTTTATGAAATGTGTGCTTCTGTTATCTCCTTGTTTTGGTGAGAAAATGAGAGATAGTAAGTTGCCTAAAACTGTACAGCTAATAAATGATTGAACTGTGATTTGATTACATATTTGTTTGGCACATTTTTAATGATTATGAAAACTGACACCAGTCTTACAATAGACACTTAATAAATATCTATTGAAAGGTAAATGCGCCTTATCTGGTTGGCTCAAGAAGAATTGTAATGAATGTGTAGTGAGATTTACACTTACTAGATAAGTTTACTGGTTGCTAATTTTCCCTGTCTTCCTGTAGGAAAAAAGACTGAAAGAAAGGGAAGCCAGAAGAGAAGCCAGTAAGAGACAAGCAAAGGTAAGGGTTTATATTTTAATGAGAAACATGTTTGTAGCACTGAATGGAATTTAAATGCCCGTCTTTTCCATATGCATTTTATATTTGTTTATACAGCGTGACATTTGAATTGGATCTAAGTCTGTATATGTATGTTATTTGCTTTCTCGTATTGGTTTGTTTCTTCTGTGGTATAGACTGAAGAAATGAGATAGTTTGTTTTATCTTCCTACTTTCACCATCTTCTCCTGTTTTGTGCGTACTAAGTAAGTATAGGAAATGGTTGACTGTGGGTCAGACCTGATAGGATTTTATTGTATGTCATCTTCAGACTACGGAGGCAGCCCATGCTAACCCAACTTGATAATAGATAACCTTGAAAGCACTGGCTGCTTCAGCTCCTAGAGCCTAAGGGGAAGCCCTCTGTGTCTCCCACCTTCACTAAATTCTGTAAACAAAAATTTTAGCAGCTGTATATATACAGTTTCTTTCAAATATATGTACAGTTATAAACACCATCATCTATGTGCAGCTGTAATTTTTATCTGGTATGTTTGACACCATGGAAAATTCAGCCTCTGCATCCTGAGGACATTTAATAGAAATGATTTCCACAAACCAGGGCACAGAAATGCATGTCATTTCTCAGGCTGTGTCTCACTGTGCTTTGCCTGACTGGCCGTGACTTCTTCTTAGCAGTTAGCAAAGATCCAACTCCCTTGAGTAAACCCATCATGTTCTTTGTCATTTTTTTCCATGCACTTAGAGAACAAGTCAGAGATGATAACTCATGCTATAGTTCTAAAGTGGGAAGCAATTACTCTTCAGTATAAGATGAAAAGACTGCTTACATTCAGTATTAAATATCACTCTGTCTTCAAAGGTGCCCGAAAACGAGAACTACAGTGTGCTTGCACCCTGACTTGCTTAATCAGGTGGTGGAGTCTGTATTTGCATTTAAAATGCAGATGTGAACAGTCATGGCATAGAAATGAGATCTCAGGAACTATAGTGGGAAAAATTTAAATTTAAGAAGAAAATCTTAAATCTAATAAAAGCATTTGATTTTTATGAATATTGCACATTCAGCATAAAGATAAACCATTTTATGTTACTAAAAAGCCCCTATTTCTTTCTGTAAATGAAATTATAAAATGAAAGATATAATCTGGAGCCAAAAGAAAGGCCTGTCACTGTATTTGCTCTGTGTGTATTGGTGCATATTTGTATATATTGCTAAATATGGTTTATTTTCTGTATTTGTTGATACTGTATGCTTCATCTTTCCTAGTGGTTTAAACTGTAAGAAAGAAATTGCTCTCACCCTTAAGCCTGCCTTTTGTGCATCTTCTCTTTCCCTGCAAGTTGCTGTATATGTTTTGTTTTGATACATTGCCAGCTGGGAAACGAAAAGCGGTAAAGGCCTTCAGAGTTAGATTTTGCCACTGGGACCGACCTCTAAAGTGAACTCCTCAAGCCAAGCCCACCCCTCTGCCCCGCACCCCTTCCCACGTTTGTCTTGTGTGTTTGTCTGAGAAAGGAGGAGGGCTTCTTTGTCAAAAGGTTGTTTCACTTACGTACAAGCGCTCAGGACTGTATTGAGAACAGAGAATAGAACAAGAACTGACTTGTCTTTGTTGTACAGCCAGGAGCTTTCAATAGAGACTGTGCTTTAGGATTGCTCTAAGTAGTCAAGCCGCCTGTATTTCATAGCCTTGTGTGAATGCTCAGAGACAGCAGCCCCTTTAGAAGAGTGATGTTAGCACAGAGATGAGAGGACAGGTTGTAGCCAGGACTCAAACATTCCTCAGGACACCAGGGACGGACAGCAGTGACAGATTCAGGCTGACTCATGGAGGCCAAGGAGTTAGCTTGGGTTAACCTGTATGTACACAGCTTCTTTTCAAATGAAAGTTACAGAAGTTGGAGGCTCTGGAGCTTTCCAGGTGCCCCTTTGGAAACAGACCCAGAAGATGTTGGAGGGACTCTGTAAAGAGGTGATGGCCCAAGGTTCTGTGATATCTAAGAAGAAATGTATGAGCTGGGTTATGGGTTTTCCAATTGTGTGTCTGTGTGTGTGTGTATGCGTGTGAACATGCTTTAAGTGATGGATATGGCTTAAGTTTCAGAGTAAATTTTATCTTCTTTTTAATATGGTTAAACATTATGTGACTTGAGGCTGTTGCCTTCTGAGGCCTTCTGGTCAGCGTCAGTGCAGAACATCCTTCAGTCACTGAACCTGTATCTAAGGGATACCTTAGTGGTAAAAGAAAGTGGTGACTTACTAGACCACCAGAGGGTGGTCTTACCCGTTTATAGCTATTTCAAGAAGTCACTGCACAGAAACGGGTGTGTGAGAAAGAAGACTTCCAGAGTTGTTTTCTACCTTGTTTTGCGCTTCATTTAACGAACCTCATGTTACAGGAGAGGAATATAGAAGACACAGTGTTGTTGCTTTAGAAATTGGAAAAATGTATTAGAATAAAAGTTGATAGAATTATCTTTATTACCGAGAAAAGAGAAGGTTTAATGATATTGTGAGTTTGTAATTTTATAAATGATGCTTGGTGGTTATCTCTTCCCCAACATAGTAAGTATTCTGAAGAAAAATTGCTCTGAAGTTAGAATATAGTAAAATAAAGTTGGAATGGACTTCCCAGAAAGCTGATACAACTTTTTGCTAAAAGATAGGTCTAAGATCTGCCTAGAAGACGTTATATGCAGTGCCAGGAGTTAGAGAGAAATATGAAGTTGAAACTTTTAAGAAAGTTTTTGGGGTACCCAGTGTCCAGTGATTTGAGACATAGAGGTCTTTGGATATTTAAACTTTCTTTAGCAGACAAATATTTGAACTATTAAAGAATATTTGACTTTCACTTTAGCTAACAGAATATTGTATGTTCTTGTAAGTTAGAAATTTTAAACTGGCACAAGAAAAAGTAGTTGGAGCAATAATAAGTAGACCGTGTTGCTTTTTGGATTCAGAGTGGTTACATAATCCTTGAAATACAGCTTTACCTCATTATCCAGCTATATTTCCTCATCTTACTTTGATGGTCTCAAGTGTTTGTACCAACCTCTGGGTGGCTTGATGAAACTGAATACTGAGTATGAAGGAGCAAAGAGTAGGATATAGCTTAGTTTCCTGCAAGTTAAGCATTGCTTGGACTATATTACTGATGGTACTTGTTCAGTTCAGTCCAGTCGCTCAGTCATGTCCAACTCTTTGCGACCCCATGGACTGCAGCCAGACCTCTCTGTCCATCACCAACTCTCAGAATCCACCCAAACTCATGTCTATTGAGTCAGTGATGCCATCCAGCTGTCTCATCCTCTCTCGTCCCCTTCTCCTCCTGCCCTCAATCTTTCCCAGCATCAAGGTCTTTTCAGATGAGTCAGCTCTTCGCATCAGGTGGCCAAAGTATTGGAGTTTCAGCTTCAACATCAATCCTACCAGTGATGGTGCTTATAGTTCTTATTTTTAGGTATGGGGGAAATTATATGAAAACGATGTTTAAAATGATGTTGTACATTTTGAGGTTGGATTGTATAGCCACCATAAATTTTAGCTTTATTTTCTCCTTGGTTTTTTTTTATTGCCCCTCCCTTTTTTTAAAGTAACTCTGAGGCACTTTATTAATGTACTTATAGAATAGTAAAATAGTTTCTTGGATACCTAAAGTGGTTTTGGTTAATTCTTTCACAATAGGAGTAGAAGAAGTTGTATACTTTAGAACTTGAATATTCTTGAGAGATATTCTGGAGGTGTTTCCTAAAACTGGTTTGTAATATCTTTTTCTCCAGCCAGCAATAGTTTCATGAAACAAAGCTAAATTTATTTATTTTGATATTATGTTCTTTCAAAATCTTTTTGAACTTTTCCTATCCATGAAATGTAAGAACGTGAAATATCCACTCATCTATTCCAGCAATTTTAAATAGTACATTGAATAGCCTAGGGGTTCTGCTGAGGTATCCCCCAGGACACAGCAGGTTATTTGGGCAGAAATCCAGGCTCCCATTTTGTCATCATTCAGAGCAACCCTGTTATCTTCTCTGTGTGTACGGAAGCTTCCAGGGAGACTTCTGTTTGAGATAGCGCTTCTACTTGGATACATAAATCCATACATACATGTTATTTTTTAAGAACCCAGGGACTTTCCTGGTGGCCCAGTAGCTCAGACTCTGTCCTCCCAGTGCAGGAGCCAAGGTTTGATCCCTGGTCAGGGAACTAGGTCCCACATGCTGCAGCTGAATATCCTGCTTGCTGCAACCAAAGATTCTGTGTGCTGCAGTGAAGATTGAGGGTCCCCCGTGCCACAAATAAAACCTGACACACACCAAATAAATAAGTATTAAAAGAAAAATAAAGTACTTCAGTAAATTAAAGCTAAAAACAAGTAAATGACTTAACATCGTCCCTGGCTTCTTTGATGGCAGTACTGCTCTGCGTACTGAGGACTCAGTCCTCATTTCCAGTTATTCTTACTGCCCCATACTGTTTTTGTTTGTTACTTTATACCTCTTGTACTTCTATTTTTTTTTTCTTTAAAAACAAACCAGATCTGTGGTACATAGGCTAACAACTATTCATAGAAAATTACTAATAACAAACACCTTGAGTAAGGAGAAAACTTCAGACTAAGCCTAGAAAGCAGCCTGTATCTCAGTTGCTGGCTGACCCCTTGGTCTGAGCCAAAATGTGTAACAAAAAGTATGTCTTACTGTATACTCATCTGCTAAAGGATTATCTCTCCTCATAGAGCTGCGAGTAGATGTTAATAAATGTTAGTAATGGTCATTCCCACCTTTTTCTGGGTCTTAAGCCTTTGCATTTATTTCCTTTGACAGGGCTTTATGGATTGACACCTAATGAATATTTTTATTTTAAGAGGAAATGCCTCCCCATTCCATATGCTTCATATAGACCTTCTAACACCTCTTTCCTTGTCTTTTTTGACATTTATAACTGAAATATTTAACTGGTCTCTTTCTTTATTTTTAATGTGTTTAGAATTTCA